GGGGTGTGCGGCGGCTTCGTTGTGTCACCCCCGCACACCCCCGCCATTTGTCGGCGAAGTGGGAAGTGCCGTGACTGACGCCGTGGAGGTGCGGCGAAGAGGCCGCCCTCGGGTCCAGGCCTGCGAGCCACCCTGGCAGCGCACCGGTGTGGTGTGTGTGTGTTTTCGTGCCGTGTGTGTGTTGTGGTGTGTAGTGTGGGAGGGTGATCTGCCAGGCGACACGGGCTTGTGTGCATCGTGAACCAAGTTTTGCAGCGTATAAATGCGTGCCCTTATTCTCTGACGTGTCTTCACTGATCTCGTCGTCGCTCCTCTCGAGCAAAATTAAACACAAATGCGGTCATTATCCTGAAATGTCATCTTAATTTAGCTCAGGAAAACCTTGGGTAAAACATCAGAGGTAGTAGGCACAGCGGCATTTCTTACATAAGTAGTTAGGCACTGAGTCAGTATCCGCTGAATTGCCATGCAAATGACGGGGATATCTTGACGCATTATTCTGGTGCTGTATGGTACTGGCAATGTACAAATCCACAGGATATTTCACAGTCACTCATTCAGTATGTTTTAACACACCCAAATAATAACTGAAATATTTATAGATATTAATAAACTAACCTTCTGCATAATTAAGTGCTGAAATTAAGACTAAATTGTATATTTCAGATTTTACTTACTGTCTTCAGTTGTCTCCGTAAATGTAGAATTTGGATGCTGCTCAGCAGTTCCAGTTACTCAAAGACCTTGAATTTGAACATAATGATAGCTTAAAACAAATGGACCTGTCTGAGGTGTGAGATACAGCTGCTATCAGCTCTATGTACAGATATTATTCTTGCAAAGTAGAAGACAGCGTGGATGTATTGTTTGTTACTTTGATGGCACTGTAGTTCCCGACTTCCAGTTGAATATTCTATTCAGACTAGACTAAGATTAGATAACCTGATACAAGCCAGCAGTACAGGTAGGTGGTGGTGGGTGAAGTGACTTGCCAGAGGTCATACAAGAAGTCTGAGGCAGAGCTGGCTGGTTACACAGCCTTTGATGCCCATTGCTTTTTCTGCCGTATGAACAAGAGCTTGGTAGTTTGCCTCATTTTTTTCCTTCTCTCTTACAACCCTGGCTTTCAGTCCATCATAGCAAATTTTTTAAAAAGAGCATTATTCTTAAAATTTCTCTAAAATCAGCTATTATTATTATTATTATTCTGTTAAATGTATGTCACTATAACAGTATTATAAAAGCTAAGATTTTTTGTTTGCATTTACAGGAAATGCATTGTTATATACTATTTGAAAAAATATCTTGAGTAGCCTACTTTTATTGCCCTAATTTTCTTATTTTTTTATTTTATTACATGCTTACAGAATTGTAGGTGATGATGATGGAGGAAAGCTCTTTACCCCTGAGGAGTATGAGGAGTACAAAAGAAAAGTATTACCGATTCGGTTACAGAACAGGTTGTACGTGAACTGGAGATCACCAACGGGCATGGACTGTAAGCTTGTGGGACCAGAGACGCTGTGCTTTTGTACTCACCGGTAGGAATCTTTTCCTTTTTTTGAGCTGTTGTATTTTTTAAAATCAGGAATATGTAAAATGTTTCCAGATACATTTCAGTACAGTATAGGCAAGTTAATTTAAGGTCTAAGGGTTGAGAAAATTGTGTTTTAAATAATAAGAAATGTTCTTAAATCTATATCTCAATATATTTTTTTGAGACCAAAATGATTTTGTAGCCTTCAATAAATTCAGCTTTAAGGCATGAGTTATTGTAGATCAGATTGATTCTGATAGTGCTGTAAAAATGAAACAGAAGGATTTGTGATATTTAGGTAATAAATAGATATAAAAGCACCTGAAATTATGCATTTAATTGAAAATTAACAATTAACAACAATTAATATAAAGATGCTTCAAAACAGAACTTGTAAGAGAGACCATAAGCCTTTCAGTTAGTTTTCTGATGAATACTAACAAACTTGTAAAAGTCTCTTTTTTTGCCTGTTTTAGGTATAAACAACACAAAACGGACTATGAAGTGATTCCCAAAGACCGTCCTATCTGTGTGCCATGTAGAGTGAGCCATTGTCCGTGCCAGTCCTATCACTACGTCCCTCTAAATGGCACGCAGCTCATCCGCTGTAGATGCAAACACTTTGCTGATCAGCACAGTGCAGCACCAGGATTTTCATGTAACTCCTGTAAGTTACTGCTGGGCTTGCAGTGTTCTTTGCTAGAAAGTTTCACAGGAACAGCATCTTAGGGACCTGTATTCTGCCCAGAGCATTGGGTATATGCTGCACTTGTCGCTGATGTGTATTTTGGTCCTTGCAGAAAGATGGAAAATGGGAAGGAAGGCACGGCCTTTTGCACCGGAGGGTTTAGAACTACTTCCTTGGCTTCCCCAAGTTCTGTGAAGGAGTTTCTTAACGGTTTGGTTAGGTACATATGGAGACGTTAGGCAGCACGAAAGCACACCATTTGGAGTTTGTCATTTCCACTGCTGCACGTGTGTGACTTTTCTACTTGAACTTGATAGTTTGAGAGAGAGAAGTGTTGATTTCTGTTCCTCTGTTGCCTGGTTGAATACAACGTTCATGTATTTTTATATCTTTTCTCAACTCAGTAGGAAGTAGCGCTCTATTGCCAAATAGTACTATTGTTAGCACTCTAACAAAGCAGTTCCCGAGCATACAGATTGTGGGTGCAGAAGTGCAATGGGAATGGAGTTTCAAGCAAAAGCTTTGAGAAGGCATTAAGAGGAAGCTTTTTGCTTCAGTTGTTCGAGGTTATTGTAATGAAAAGGTAATAATTATTAACCATAGAAACTAAATAATGCATAAAGATGTTTTAGTTTGAAACCTCAAATTATGTAAGATGAAGATTTTTTTGTTAGAGTTCCATACTGTTAGTAAATTACTTTCATGAAGTCTGTCTAATTTGTACCGGAAAAATCATTAACAGCTTTTGCTGGATGAGAATCATATCCCACAGAATAAAACGTAAAATACTTATATGACAGCCTCTCAGGAATTTGCTCTAAGGAGTGTGAAGGTCTTAAACATGCAGTTGGATGATTCAGGTTGAATTCTTAGAACACAATGTTTTTAATAATCATTTACATTATGCACTTTTTCTGGTGTTTCTCGAAAATACCTGACACTTCTGAGGGCTTCAAAGATTACACAGAGAGAAGTGCCAAGACTTATTTCTGTTTTGGGCATGTGTTGTTTTAATGTATTAGTATTAGTCTAGTCCAGTGCTGTATAAATCTAATGTGATAGATAAATTAGAGATGTACTCTTGTTTTTAATAGAAAAATATTGCTGTTGCTCTTTATATATTGTATATACTTTATTCCGTATCCAAACACAGAGTAAGAGCTCTGTTACTAAGGAGTGCCCAAAATGATACAAAAAAGCCTTTAATAATTTTCAAGAGTGTGATCCTTTGAACATATTACACCAGACTTAAAAAAAGTCTTTCTTGGTGCTCTGCAAAATGAACTGTAACTGGGAGTTGGAAGCAGCATAATTTGGATAATGAAACATTTGCTAAATCAGTTCCTCAGTTTCTCATTCACATCATTGATCCAGCAGGGTGTTGATGACAATCTTGGCTGTAGCAGAGCAGATACACCACTTCACTGGCTTTCTGAATGTTGTATGTCATTTGTGTAACTATTTCAGTTACATCCTGTGGCTATGTAAGCTTAAAAAAACCCTGGAAGTCATTCTAATGGTACTCTTATGTAGAGCCTGTTTTTCTGCTCAGCCTCTGTTTTGTACCCAGATAATTTTGCTAATTTAAAAAGACATTTAAATTGTGATTTTTATCATAAATTGTGTTTTGAAGTTTTCTGGCCATGCTACATTGACATGTGCTGGAGATAATACTGCCAAAATTCTGGCAGGTTGTCTTCTTTACCTGGTGACAGAATGTTTTCTCTTTTTGTTTCCTGTGAGGGGTGGGATAGAAAAGGGTCTTACTAATGGCAATGAACACAAGTTGCGACATAAGAAATCCAGTTAGATATTAGAAAAGTAACGTCTGCTCCAAGGGATGACCAACATTGGTCCAGGCTGCTTGGAGAGCTGGAATCTCCACCCTTGGAGGTACTCAAAACTTGATTGAGTGAGACTCTGAGACTTGGATGATCCCTGAGATCTAATCCCCACATTCATCCTTTCCTGTTTCATACAGCATTTTCATATCATGGTGAAGAGAGGCTGTAAAAGGTTTCAGCAAAGACAGCTGATTTCTTTGCCCCTAATCACATATGTGCTTCCAAATAGAAAGCACAGCTGGATGCTTCTGTAGTGAAGGAACTCCAGTTTTTGACAAGATCAGTTTAGGGAAACGCTTTTTTGTCTGCAATGAAGTATAAATTCCATTACCATCTCACTCATTACACATATTTATTTGTTAATTAGGTTCCAAGTGTTCAGGCTTCCACAGCTGCTTTACCTGTGCGTGTGGTCAGCCAACGTATGCTCATGAAACAGTAGTGGAAACGAAACAGGAGCGCTTGGCCCAAGGGAAGCCCCTGGGGCAGGATGTTCCTTACGCCGCCATGGGAGGACTGACTGGTTTTAGTTCGCTAGCAGAAGGCTACATGAGACTCGATGACAGTGGAATAGGTAAGTGCAGCAGACCTGAGATGAAATTTTAATTCTCCAACTAAGTAGTTTTGAAAAGTAGTAATTTAACATAGGCTTTCACAGTTGGAAGGCAAACTGGATCAACAGAAGTATGACTTAAGACGGACTTTTTTTCCAGCAGTTCTTAGGTGTAAAGAGACTGCTATGACCATCTTGTCCAATTTTCTGAAGTGAATTGATAAAAAGTAATCAATAATTTTGGTGTTCAACCCAATAGCTTCTGGTTGAAGTGAACCATATCCTTCAGAAAGAACGCTGTAACTTCTGTTTTTCTCATAATATTTCCATGTTATATTTACATTAATCCTTTAGCCTAATACTGCTCAGGTATTTTTTGGTTTTACAGTTACAGCATTTTTTTTCCAAACTCAAAGTATAATAGCTGTATAGCGTAATAAAGAGGTCATTTGTAGAACTTTATTTTTGACGAGCATGTTAGTTGACCTTGATATCTCTGCTGCTCTGTAATTTTGTGTCATTCAGTAATGGACACATTTTGTTGTGAAATAGTGTTTTATTTATTATTGCCATGTACTCATTATTTTGTTTTAAAACTCTGATCTAGTTTCCTGGATTTGTCTAAAATTTAGAAACTATGGCATAACTATAGTAATCAAAGAAACAAAGCTTTTCATTACTTTTGAAGCCTTTTTTGCTTTTGTAAACCCAAGTTCATGGGGGCTGCTGTAAGTGTTGTAGATACTGATCTGTAGGCTTGTTTTGAACCCCATAATGTATTTTCTTAATATATCTCATGAAGCTAATGTTTATTTTTATTTGACTTATTTTCTAACAGGGGCTTCTGCTGATCTTTCAGAAACCCATGTAACGAACATGGATCATCCATTTCTCAAAGCATTTCAGAGACCTTCGAGTTCTGCTCAAACCATGTCACAGATAGCAGGTGCTATATGAGTAGGATAATACTGTTTTACAGAAAGCATTTAATATAAAATTAATTTGTTTTATGAGTTGAAGGATGCTTAGGGCTAAAATCAAAGTTAAAAATGAAAATTACAATTGAAGCCTTGTTATGTGAAAAGTTAGTATAACATTCATGTACTTGAAGTGCTTAGAGTAACTGTTTTGTTACTGCTTGTTATTTTTGGTCATGATGTGCTTTTTAAGTTTAATGATCTTTTTCTAGCATTTGGTGTCTTGCCCATGAATGGTGTCACTTATTCACTGGATCAGTTTTTAAAATTTTTAGTTCCTACTAGAAGCTCATAATATCTGAATGGATCATACATATTCAGTGCAATCTTGTGAAACTGCCTTCTGCCAGAGAGTCTTTTCTGCATGGAATTACGGATTTAGTATAAGAATTTAGCAATTAATGTAACTGTTGAACTGCTCCAAGACTATTGATAATAGCTGCTAGCCTAGACTAAAGAGGTTACTCTTTGTCCCCAATTGCTGTGGTTTGTTACTTGCCTGTAGAGGTGAGTTCTCATTTTAAATGTTTTCCCAAATGTAAAATATAACTTACAGAACAAGAAGTATCATTAATGAAAAAAGTTTTGTAGTTTTTCATTTTGTTATTTCTTCAGGTGGTTCTAGTGCCACAGGGCAGGTTTCTCATGGAAAGCATTCAGAAGATGATGATATGGCTTACTTTGAAAAACGTTACCAGGAACGGGCAAGTTACTACATTTATTGCTTAATTCAAATATATTTGCACAGGACGATGTCTAAAAAAGATAAATATATTATTTAAGTGGCATATAAACACATTATATTCTTTGTTCTTTTCATAAGAAAACACTAGCTTTATAAAATAAAGTTTTAAATACAATTATGAGCTATTGCAGGATTTCAGAGGTCTTTTATGTCTGGGATGGTATTTACTTTAGCTGGGCAAGTTTTTATCAAGGTAACTCTCTATTACAGTAAAACAAAATATTTTACTAGGTGACAAAAAGGAACATCAAAGCAGACTCACAGAAAGTCACCTGTGACACTTAGGGATGTGTCTTTGCTACCTCATTTATCATTTTATGATGTTCTTTTCCTTATGAATGTCTGTGTAGTTGGGCTAAATCTGGTGCATCTTTCTTAGATGATCTGAATCACCCCTTTAGAGGTGCTTCCTCTACCCCACTGACTGTACTGTAAATTTAAATGCCCTGTGGTGTAGGTTACTTGGATGGTTAAATACTTATTCTTTCCCAGCATCAGCTCCTTTGGATTTTTGATAGCAACATAATGTTAGATGAGATGCAAAAGTCCACGCGTCCCTTTTATGTAATTGCTCTAAATAGTTCATTTCATTCACTAATGTAACAATACTTGAGAACAACTGTGGCTTCTAAAAACAACAGATGTATTTATTTGGATAAATAGTCTTACTACAGAAGAGCAGAGTTAAATGTATGTATGCTGGTAAATCACACCATGATACAAGAGCCTACTCTGTACAAAAACCTTGTGACAGGAGGAGATGACTGTGGGTCAGTGAGGAGACATTGAGATGGACATTTAGCATCTACCTCAGCAACAAACTTCCTATGTGATTTTGTGCATGCTGGTTAGTCTACCTGTGTCTGTTACACGCTGTAATAAAACTTATTTACCTTTCATTGACATAAAGATAAAACTGTGAACACTTGTGAGGCACTTTGGCCTCAAGGGGTATATAAATACCTAGATTGCCATTATCAGAGATAAAGGCAGCCCTGGTTTGAATAGGAGAGGAGCTGCAGAGCTGTGGATGTGCTCCTTTGTCTTGTGATGCAAAAGTAAGCAATGCTAGGTTGAGCTAATAATGATCTGTAGCTCTCTTCATTCCATATATCACTCTGGTGAATTTATGACTGGATGCAGAGGTTTAATATTGCATTACTAGCTGACTTGCAAGTTAATGCTTGAACCACTGTTGGTGTCTTTCTTTGTTACAGCTGAAAAAGGAGAAGGCTGCTAAACGGAAAGAGAAAAGTCCAGGGCCATCACAGAAGCCATGAGATTAATAAATATTTATTATATGGCACAGAGTTATTGTACTGAAGAGTATTTTTTGCGGTGCCAACCTGCATATTTGTATTTTTTATTTCTTTATTCTGATGTTTTGGTCTATTGTGAAATTAATTATCTCATCATAAAATTGGTATCAGTTTTGGTAATCAGTGCGTTTCAAATCTCTAGAATTGTTACACAGATATTCCTTTAAGAATGGAAAATCATATTTACAGATTTACAGAAATGTTATTTAAGATCTGTATTTAAGTATTACATTGTAGGGCAAAGAAAATACATGTCCTATTCTTACAGTTTTATGATGCACTTTTTAAATTTGTAGAGTCCATAGTACACATCTTGTTCATGGATTTTAACTTGGTGGGATTTGTTCTATTAATACCGACATTTCAATCTTTTCTTTAAATCTTTTTTGCTTTTCTTCCTGTTGCTTTCATTGCCTTTACGTAAAATTCAAACATACCCTTCTTCTGTCACTTCTCTAGGCTCTGCTTTTGCCAATGTATAAATATTTTGGACATGTGAACTTCTGTACATGGGTAAACCCATTTCCACATATACTTACTAGCTGTTTGAAGGGATCCTGCTTGTATTCTTTATCCCAGTTTCCTCTAGTGGTGCCATTCCCCCAGTTCTGTTTGTCTGATACTGTCCATTACAATGTTTCTGTTACACTAAACATCTGAAAACATGAAGTGGAAATGGACATGCTATTTATTGCATATAAACAACTAATTATGCACTGTTTGATATCAACTTATTTACCCGGCAGATCCTCTTTTATCATGTGTGATCCAACACAGACGGAGCCCCTCAAGAAGGGAGATGCGCTTTTGTATTCTTTGTCTGTATTCACAGCTGTGGCAGTATGTGTTGTCTTAAAGGCAGAGGACAGGAAAATTTAAAATTAGGTAACTTCAGCAGCAAGCAGTACAGCGAGAACTTGGTGTAGTTATTAGTGTTATTACCAGTTATTACTGGCAGAGGCTACAGTTCAGGAGGCAAAAGCAGAGCCTGAGCTAACTTTGTTAAGTCTGCTTTAAAAAGAGAGGTGTAAGTCAGTTTGTCCTTAAAAATAAGTCTCTGGGACTGAAGACTTTTCCGGTGGTATGTGTGTGCTGAGACTTTATAGCAGAGTTGGGAGAAGTCTACAAAGCTCTGGTTCCCATCAGAGAGAATGCCTCTGTGTGCCTGATCAGAGCAGGAAAGGAGGTGACATTGAATGCATTTGGTGCAGGGCATCTTGTATTTTTGTTCAGATATCAGCTATGGGAGGAGGGAGGGAGTGCATGCAGGGCAAACAGTGACTGATGGAGGCATCTGGAATTCGAGTGAGAAGGGAATGGAAGGCTCAATTGCCCAAATTCAGAGATTTAAAAAGGCCATTTATCTTAACTCCGAGTTATACCGCCGTTACTGCAGATGCCAATCAGAGAGGTTAATCTGTTAATTTAAATGCGTAATATAACAAAGTGTCTAATGAGTGTTTTAAAAGTACCTTGACCTTTAAATTCTACACTGTAACATACTGCTTTAACTTAATAAATAAAAATATTCATTTGAGCTCCCCCTTCTGGTCCTAATAAGCAGTCATTTCTACAGATACTTAAGTGTCTTAAGTAAATGGGAGATTTCGTAATAGAATTGCAAGAAACAAACAAATGTAAATAACATTGGTAAAAAATGGTAGATAAAAATATAGAAAAATATTTCAGTTTTCAGAGAGATTATTACAAACTTAACAGTGCAAGTTTATTCTACTCTCATATTTATGAACGTGGCTATACCCATTAGGGAATGCAGTTCTAGAAATATATGTGTGTATATTAGAGATGAGGCTTCTCTATCGTTATAGGCAGAGGTTTGAATAGTTACAAAAACTTTGTATTTTGTGTTTTTTTTTAAATACTGATAACTTTTTACTTTTAGGAAAGAATGTATTGTGCTTTTATTGACATTTTGTCAGTTTTACATTATGTTTTACATTATGTTATGTCAGTTTTACAATGTCAGTTGACATGACTTGTCAGTTTGAAATGTTTGCTCTGCCAGATTCAGTCTTACTAAACTGTAGTTTGATCACCATGAACTGGTTTTATCAAAGTAAATTTTTAATGATTTTATTCTGTGCTTAAACTTACTCAAAATTTCCACTTAATTGATACTAAAAAGTTACTACATTTATTTCATTATATTTTTAATTGGAAAACAGGTGGGATCATAAAAATGTTAACTGTATTAAATATTGCTTAGGAGTTCTGACCACTTTTCACCCATGTTGATGATGTCCAAGTAAAAGAAACTCACTTTCCTTGCTGGAACATGAACTTCTGACTTCTTGGTATTCATGTAGTACTTTTTTTGCAGAATTCTTATTCATATCTGTACATGAAAAACTAGATACACTATATCTCATAATGTTGCTGGCAGTGAAAACTGTACACTGATGTCATGTTTTATGTGAAATTTGCACTTAACTGGAATTACTCATATTTTTATCCTGAAAAAAATCATTCAATAGGATCAAAATTTCAACCTCGAATTCTATTGAAAAAATATCTTTATAGTTCTATTAAGAAAATTTTTGTAAAGGTAAAAGCAGAAACAAATTGCTAGTACATTTGCCATTAACACTGGTCGTTAAATAAAGAGCTCAGTTTAATGTATACGCTTGATGGTTTGTTTTCCTGAGAGCAGTCGTGAACTTTGAACATAATGTCCTGGGACAGATAAGTTATCGGTTCATCTGTATGATTTATTTGTGGGCGTGTATCTGCCGTTCAGCTAGACACATTAATCGTTTCTGACTCTAATCCAAGCAATCTGGCATGGGAGAAATGGTTTGTTGTCATACACAGAGTGCTCTGAGCTGGTAAAGCCTAAATGCGTAGGTCTTCGGCAATACTAAAGCACTTCTCATTTTTTAAATAGCTGGCTTTTGAATCAATATTTTGTCATTATTATAAAACTCCTAGAGTGTAGAACAGCATTTTTTTCACTAGTTTTAATCATCCTATGAAAAGGCTTAGATGCACCTTGGCTATTTATGATAGTAGAGACTGGTCAGTGATCCTAAGTGGAGGGCAGGGGACTCCTTTCCCTTCTGCGCTCCTCTGACGCTAAATATGCCACGCGTCTGTCTGTCTCAGGTTTGAGAGGAGGGGGAATGCGATGTGTGAATTCACAGCCAGTAACAGCATCCGTGCAGAATTACTTTGTCGAGTTGTCAGTGTCTTTACAGCACGCTGTGCATATTAAACGCTTTGCAGGTCTTGTGTCTGCACGTCCCTGGAGTCTCGAGCGGTAGTTTGGTTGGAGCCATGTAGCCTAAGGAAAAAGACAACTTTGCAGGTAGTGGTAGTACTTTTTCTTAGCAGAAACAGAACTGAAAACAACAACAACAAAGGGTTTTCCAGTTTAAAAGACCTTGCACAGGTGTTACTTGTTTTTGTTTGTGGTTTTTGTTTTTGGTTTTTTTTTTTAAAACAAGATACTACTTTTGTCTGGAAGCCTACTCTTGCTTTGAAGCCCTTAGCATTCATCTTCTAGTAGAGTAAATCGTTATTTGCTTTACACTGGTTTTAGCTATAATTGTACATTGTACATTGTATCTGTGCCGGTCAGCCCTGGCTGGATGCTAAACCCATGTGCTCCTTCAGTTACCTCCCTTGGGGAAGTCCCAAACTCAACAGTAACATGTTGCCTGTGTAACGCTGGCACCCCTACCTCGGTAATGGCTTCATCAGTTTTCATTTCGTATTAAGAAAGACAGGAAAATTGCAAATCGCTGTATGTGAAACTGGAAGGTGAGCACCTTCAAAAGGTATGTCAAGGCCGGCAGAGAGGTTGGCACCTCCAAAACCAAGATTACCAGGCACCCTCTCGTGTGGAGAAAGACGCATCTGGGCATACAATTACGGATTTGCAGAAAAAGCCTGGTGCTTGCAAAACTCCCAGAGCATCTGTCGCAGAGTTGCTCTGGCAGAGGAGAGGTGTTGCCCGCAGGTGGGCGCAGGCCACCTTCACTGCGCAGGCACACGACACGGTGAAGCTCCCGCCTGTGGCGCTCTCACAGTCCGTGGCCCTCTCACAGTCCCCACTGAGGCAGGGGAAGGGAGGGGAGGCACCGCCCAGGCGGGCAGGCGCTGGCCGGGGAGTGGGGCCTTGCAGCAGGGAAGGATCCGCCGGGGGCTAGGCAGGCGGGAAGGGCGGTGGCGTGCGCTGGGTGGGCGGCGAGTGTAGGGAGCGGTCGCGGCGGGAGCACGTGCAGGAGTGGCGGGGTTCGTCGTCCTGAAAAGGCCCGGCCGCCTCAGGTAGCGCTGGGGCTGCTCGGTCGAGGGGGAGGTTGGCACCCGACTCTTGCTTCCCGGGGAGGCTCACCAGGGGCGCGGGGCTGCGTGGTGAAGGAGGAATTTGCCCCTGTGCTGGTTTTACGGCGCTTCCTTGTGTGGAAAAAAGTGTTCTTCACTAAAGAAATGGGGGCCTCTCCGTGGGCAGGGGGAAGGGCTGAGGGGTAATGCAGGGGGGAAGGCGGTTAGAGAGCAAGAGCCCACTGAGCAGTGGAAGTGTTCAGGGCAGGGACAAGTGGTGTGGGATGTGGGCCTGCACCTCCACGGGCCTTGTGGAGAAAGCCTAAATTTCATGTCTAATTGTAGATATTTTGTAATATTTCAGAATCTGGTGCCATGGCTGGAGATGAAGTGTATGACAAAGGTAATGTGAGGTTTAAAAAAGGAAATTGCCACACGATTGGTAGTCTTGATAAAATCACATTTGAGAATAATTTATTTTTTTTTCTTTCCCCTCAAGTTGAAGATGTTGTGGGCTGCCACGTTGAAGATGCTGTAACATTCTGGGCACAGGTGAATTCAGAGAACTATTTGATTTTAACAAAGGTGTTTAATCTTAAGCTATCCCCCAATAAGTTTCTGTAAAAGTGAGGATAAATGACAGCATTTGATGTTGGAAAAAAAGATTATTTTAGAATTGCAAGTCTTATTGTTCCATTTTAAACCAAAAACATTTTTTCTCTTCTGAAATGTCAAAAAGACTGTTCATCTATGCATTTGAATTGTAGGTAGGTTTTCTTGACTATTTGATAGGCAAAAAATAAAAAGGATAAATTGAGGGTTAAAATATTTGCTGTTGGGTGAAGAATACTGTAGAAGGCAGCTGGAGCCCTGCTGAGGGTAGAGCCCCTGCCCGAACAAGCTGAGCATTTGGGGCAGTTTCAATGAAGCTTGACATGGAGATGGTTCAAAGGTGCTAGGTCCTTTCATGTTTTGTGTAGATGGACAGGAAGATGTTGGATTAGGGGAATGGGGAAAAGTAAAAAAACCTTGACACTGAATTGTTTTCATTAATGGAGGGGGGGGTGCAGCAGGGATTGGGGAAAATCAGAAGGAGTACTGAAGCTTGCAATTTCTGTATGGTCTGCTGGCTAATTGGTATGTGCATATTAGTCAAGACCCGTGTGACCTTGAGCCAGGTGGAGGAGGTAGTGCCTTGTCATGTCTCTAGGAGGAATTTGGAGATGGGGCCCAAACTACTCATTCTGTTTATGGAATTGGTTCTTGTAATAAAGAGATTTTTAGATGTAATAGTCATAGGTATTTCTCCTTTAGGTTTTTATCTGGTATTCTGAGACTCAGTCACAGTGTTATATTTAATATTGTAAGGTACGCAAGTTAAGAGTGCACTTCTAAGGCTAACAAAATGTTTAGTTGCACTAATGTTTTATTTCCTGCTCTGGAATAAATGCCTTGTTAGTAGAATTCGGACCGGTTTTACAGTGGTTCAGGTACCAATTTTTAACTGGAAAGACTCTGCTTCTTTCAGCCAAACCAAAATGCGAGTCTTCATGTAAAGAGAACAAGGGGTGTGCCAGAATTGGTGTCCCTTTGTATTAAGGACAGAAAGAAAAGAACACGAAATAGATACCAAAATTAGTGAGGAAGGATTGATAAGTAAGATCTGCTTACTGCTTGCAGAAACTGGTAATTAAACTGTTAACAGCATTTGTTGCAAACTATTTTTCTGAGGTACATTACCTACCCCTGATCCATTACTTTAATTTTTGAAAATTAAAATGAGAGCAGGCTTACCAATGCAACTAAAACCATGAAGATTGAAAGCTTAAGGTGGGGCATTACTTGTCTCAACAGCAGTGCAACTGTTTTGATTTAATTTTTGGCTGTTATAAGCCATCAAGAATCTGTTAAAAGTGACAGTTAATAACTTGTACCCTTTCTCCACACTTCTCAGAATGTCAGTAGATGTCATGACCTCTTGAAATTAAGTTCTGCACTGGCAGATGCTTGTCCTCGGGCAAATGCAGTTTTTGGCAAACCTGATTTTAGCAAGGTAAGTAGGCTGTGCATATGTGGAGTTTGTTTTTCACTTGGATGTAAAAGCCTTAATTCTATGCAACTTTTTTCTTATGTTTTTTCTTCATCTTTGATTATGCTGTGGGTTATGTTCTCTCAAGATTTCTTTAAGAGAACTGCTGGCATTCCTAAAGAAAGTGCTTATTTTGTGTGAGCAAGTTTAAATCTTTCTGCACTTCAGACTTCAGTTCAATTATGCAACCACAGTTGTTTTTTAATACCCAGGAAATACTACAAGAAGGTAATACACAGAATGCCG